GGCTGGGAGGGAGCCAGGAGCCCAGGGAACATGCTCGGGCAGCGGGTTGCAGCCAGGCACAAAAGGTGGATTCCATGGGGAACAACTTCCTGAGAGCAGCACAGGCTTTGGGGAGCACACAATGCAAACCAGCAAGACCAGTGCTGCTCCCGGCTATGCCAGGAGGAGCTCTGCAGCCTGATGAGCCCATGGGTAACTGGAATAGCTGGGCAAGAAAATGAGTCATGGTCGGGGAACATCGGGTTGATACAAGCACTGTCCTGGCTGCCAGCCGCATCGGCCCCACACGTCAGGGCAGGCGAAGGCATGATGGTGTCTGCAGGGAAGGGGATGCTGCTGATATGACGAAAGCCAAGGAAGGAAGACTCATAGAGCAACAGAGAAGTTGGATGATTTCTCTCCATTATCAAGCATTACCCCAATATCGTTATTATCAGGGGAAGGGAGGCTCAAGAGAGCTGAGGAGTGGGTTAATGGAGTGAAGCTGCTCAAAAAGACAAGGTATCGAGTAGCTGTAGCATCATCTGCCCAGAGCTGGGCAGTTCTGGTAACACTTGGATGCTGCCTGAAGGGTGTAAATTCTTTCGTTAGGAGGAACATGAAAAACACCTATTTTCTCTGCTGTTGTACCCCACTTCTCCTCACAGTGACTCCACCGCAGTGTCAGCCCTAATTCCAAGCATACGTCTCTTCCCAACAAGCCGGGGGAAAACCAGCCGCATTTTAAGCCTCGGTAGCTGTGGCTTATTTGGAGGAAGCTGGATTTAGCTCCCGCAGCAGTTTGTGGTCTCAGCTTGCAGACTGGCTCCCTGCTTCTCCTCTGAGGGAGGACAGGGCAAGAGTGAGGACAGCCCCTGGGGTGGCTGGGGCTGGAGCCCAGCGTGGGGCACGAGTCGTTTGAACGTTTTCAGCAAGCAGAATTGATCCCAAAGGCCTTAAATATATGACTTTTAAAACAAAACAAAATAGAAAGCAAATATATTAAACTCAAAGTTCCTGGGTTTGATTGTACTTTCTCTTCTGTAGATCAGAACATTCCTAATTGAAATTCCTTCATATTGAAATGGGTGGTTCTGCAGGACATGTCAGTGCTGATAAAATACCATGTTTAGATGAAACTGTGTTTTACTGAAAATGGTTTTGACCAGCTGTGGTTTGGGAAGAAGTCGTTCCATGATTTACACAGGTTTTCAAGCACATCTTCAGCACTACTGATGTTACAGTAAATACATTTGGTGGTGCATCATCGCTCCTTATTTTTATTATTGTTGCCAAATTCTTCTAGGGATTCACACACAATAAACTTGTGGAAATAGAGGAAATGCTTCTCATTTTCAGAGTCAACTTTTCAAGTAGATTAACAGGAAAAAAAGCCAGCCCTGGGTCCATCCTGGTGGCAGGACATGGGAAGGAAATATCAACCAAATGTTTCTTCTAAACAACTGCAAATTATTAATTTTGGGTGACGTCAGGCCCGGCCCACGCCGCCTCCCAAAACCACCAGGAATTGGGGAAATTTGGCGCTTGAAGAAGTGTCCCTGGGTGCGTGTGTGTGTGTGTGGAGCACGTAGTGGTGGGAGCAACGTTTGCCAGGCAGAAGGGACGCGCTCGGGCTGGTGTGGCTGTGGCCGGCAGCACTGGCCGAGCTCTGAGGCCACCGTGATGGCCGGGAGCAGCATCCGTGCAGCAATGCTCCCAAACTATAAAGTGTTTCTAAGCAACAAAATACCGCTGAAACACAGACTGAAATTAAGAAGGAATGCAACAGGGAAAATCCCTAAATCCCGTTTACACTTGAGTGCACTCGGGTAGGGAGAACAGCGAGGGCCAGGGGACGGCAGCTCTCCTCGGGCAGGGCTGTGCCCCGTGCGCTGCAAGAGGCCATCGGGCCCCAAAAGTGGCCTCTGAAATTCCTTCTGAAAGATTTGGGAAGATTAGACAAATGTTGCTTATAAACATAAACTGTGCAATAAACAAATGCGGTGTAAATAACTAAGTAGAGCTTACTCGCTGTTGAGAGCCCCGCTGGCTGCTCTGGTGTGGAAAACCATTTGCGATTGAAGGTTTGGTTAAAGAAAAATGCACACAAAGCCACATGCACACCCCCTGCACCCACCCTCACACGTACCCACTTGCCTGCAAGCCCCCACGCCCCCCCCCCAGCACACCAGATCCTTGTTAGCTAACTTGTTTATTGCTAACCACAGCCCTTGGAAACTACAAATATTTAATTTCGTCTGGCATTGGAGCAGATGGGAGGCATCAGGCTCCTAAAGAGATAAAACAAATCTGGGGAAGGAAGGAGAGCACAAGCTTGGGTGCGGGCTGGGGAGTGCGCAGGAGCCTGGCAGCCACGTGGGGCTCCTAAAGGCATCGTCAGGTTATGGGGCTTTCGCTGCAACCTGGTGCTTGGTGTCTGTCTCATCACTATTAGGGATGCTCTAGTTCAGATTTAGGCAGCCACCAAGCTCCAGCTCCCTTCCTTGGCCGGGGAAGGAGATTTCATGGGCAGGCAAAACACACCAAGGGCAGAGCATGAAGCTGACATGCTCATCGTGCTCCCTGTGCTAGAGCAACCCTCAGAGCTGGCATCAAGCTCTTCCCGAGGGCTTGGTGAGGACACCCGCATTGCAGGTGGAAAAGGGCATGTTCCCACCAGGCTTGGTAGGAAGGAGCAGTGCTCCTGCAGCCATTCCTCTCTGAGTTTTGCCGTGTTCTTCTCTCATGGCACCAGTGGTGGCTCCTGGTCCAGGGGCCATGGATGGGCACAGAGAATGATGGAAAAATCGAGCTGCCCATATAGGATATAGGGGGTATAGGACACAGGGGCTCATTTAAACAGGCACCACACTGAGGTGTGTGGGAGGGGAAACAGCATCAATAGGAATGTTTGAAATCAAGCCAAGGGAAAGACAGCTGCACGGAGGAGCTCCACAGCCATATAACCCTTCTGGGGTCACTGCCTCCCTCTGTGCCAGGCCCAGCAGGGCAGACCCCCAGCAGCACCAGGAGCGCTTCACTATAACCTAGCAGCTCATGAAGTGGCTCGAAGGACTGTTTTCTGGAGCTCGTGAGGCCATCCCATGCCATGGATGAACCATTCCCCCCTCCACCAGTGTCCCCACTGCAGAGCAGCTCGTCATCCAGCCCCGGTGCTGTCACAGGCGAGGTGACATCTCAATGGTGCGGTGACATGCAGCACTCAGAGCATTAAGGATCTGCAGGGGGCTCACACTGGCTGTGCGTTTGTTGTTGCAGAGCATTTTGCATGGCAATAAAAGCAGGAGGTCAGTGACCAGGAAGTCTTTATCCCGCGGTGCTCCACGGCTCCGGCTGCCCGCGCAGCCACACTTTGAAAAATCAGTTTTAAAGTGGTGTCAGACTGATGGAGAATGAACCCTGTGGCCTCTGCAGCAGCCCTGGTGTTCTTGGTTGGGCTGTATTGAACAGATGGGTTCTCTCAGTCACTCTGCACCATTAGAATAATCCCAACTGTATTTCTTAGTTCATTTGTCATTAGGGTCACTTTCACCTACAGGGAATCTTTCTTGCAAAGCAATGCAGAACAAAACATCCGTCTGCTTTTCCAAACTCATTTGCTTTTACTTTCACTAATACCAATTTGGGCAGTGTCTGCAGCCCATCAGGAGACCTGTGCTGAGCTAGGTCCTGTAGAAACATGCTCTGAGCAGCTAGCACCTAACACACAAGAGATGCCACAGACTAGAGAAGAATTGTCCATCCTACTTCACCACCAGAGACTGACTTATCTCCCCCCCCCTTAGCAAAGTGCTTTGAGATTTGGGGAGAAAACAAATCGATACTTAAGGATGAGGCATATTTTTGATGAGCAGTTTGTGTTGTATTCATACATCACCCTCAAGGGACAGGTTTCACCCAGCACTGAGTGAGAGTTTGGCCACTGCTGCAGAAGGCACTAGGGTCCTTTTCTCCCTGGGCTTTTGTAAGCTCCCTCCTCTGGCTCTGCAGCACCCCAAGCCCTCAGGGCCTTTGCTGTTCGCCCCATATCTATTCTGCACACGCCATATCTCACCTTTACACTGCAGCAAGCAGGACAGACCTTGATTTCCAGCTCACCCTTGGTACAAGATGCCAGCAGCAAACCCTCCCACATGAGCCGCTGGGACAGTGGGGCACGGAGCTCTGCTGGGTCCAGCTCCCCAGGACTGCAGCCTTTCCCTTCCCACAAAACCCACATCCCTGCATCCCTCACGGGAGCGGGAGGACCACAGAGAGGGGCCTGTGACAAGCAACCAAAGGCAGCTGGGAAAAAGGTGGTACACCAACGATGAGGGTGCAGTAAATGAAAACTATGTCCCTTGAATGGCACTGGTAGTGGCTCCGCATTGTGATATTAGAAATTACTCAAGTGAGACTAACGCTCTCAACATACAGAATAGTGGCTCTAAGTGAGGAAATTAGGACTATTAATCATTTCAAGGCGTTAACAACTCCAGCAGGCCAGGATGGCCCTGTTCCCAGTGGAGCTTAATAAAATACTCAGAGTTTATAATAATAAAATAATATCTCAAATGTCTACAGCACCTTGCAACCCACAGTGCTTTGCAGTCGGCTATAAATTGTCTGCCCCCAGCTAGGGAGAGGAGAGGAAGGAAAGTGCAGCATCCTTGGGAAGTATGCAAGGAACTTGAGGAGGTGAATGCTGCCAGGCACGTTGGAATTTGCTCTTTATCAGGCACAGAGGCAGGGATGTTGGATTTGATCCTATCTGGATGAGGTGTCTCCAATAACTGTCTAGGGCTTTCCAGCCTCCCACCAAAATACAGATTTCATGCTGACTCAATGGGATGGGAAGAGAACGGAAGCCAAGATAGTTTGGCTCCCAGGTTGAGCTTTCAGGACTATCAAAGTGGTTATAATGGGGAGGTGGATCAGTTTTCTCATGGGGATGACTCCAGCAGCCTCTGGCACCACCAAGAAGCCAGACCACGCTCTCATCTCAATGTCCAGGGAAGAGCTCTTGGAGCAGATGTCAGCAGAGGTGAGGCTCTGTGCAAAGCAGGCTCTTGGCCCCAGCCTGTGGGATGGATGGCACAGGAGGCTGAGCATCTCCTGCCCGAGGAGATGGAGACTGGGGCTCCAGTGTTCGCCATTGACCACGGCACAGCACCCTCAGGGGAAGAGCAGAACCAGTGCCAAGGGGAATGTCCTGAGCTGGGACGAAGCCCCAGTTACAGTTCAACTCATGGGTGTCTGGTGGCACAGACTGGAGCTGTGGAGGCGCTTGAGCTCAGCATTTCTTCCACATGGCACTGAGGTTATTTGGCCGAGTCATATTAGGTGGGAGAGCTGCATGTAACAGGCAGTCAGCAGCAATCAGAGGACGCCGAGTTGACAGGAACAACACCTTGTGCTTTCCATGCTCACTTGCTTTCTTGTTTTGGTTTTCTTTGTTGCTTAAACGTGGCTTAGTCAAGGTCAGAGCCCCTGATGTTGCTCTGCATGCAGCGCGAGGCTGCCGGCATCTCTTTAATGCCAGTAAGAAAAGAGCCTTTTTGGAACCCCCAGGAGCAGCTGATGTGGCCGGGTCCAGTGATCTGAGCTGGGCAGGTTGCCTTACCCAAGCTGAAAACCCTGCACTTGAGGAGAGGCAGTACCTGTATCTCTGGGGAGATCCCCCTGCAGCCCTGATCCAGCTCTGGGGAACAGCACAAGAGGGATGTGGAGCTGCTGGAGCGAGTCCAGAGGAGGCCATGGAGATGCTCGCTGGAGCAGCTCTGCTCTGGAGCCAGGCTGAGAGAGCTGGGCTGGGGCAGCTGGAGAAGAGAAGGCTCCTGAAGGGGACACCTTAGAGCAGCTCCAGTGCCTAAAGGGGCTCCAGGAAACCTGGAGAGGGGCTTTGGACAAGGGGGAATGGCTTTAGCCTGACTGAGGGGAGATTGAGATGAGCTCTTGGGCAGAAGCTCTTCCCTGTGAGGGTGCTGAGACCATTTTGTGATTCGATGATAAGTATGGAAGGCAAATTCTCAAGCTGAAAACCCATTAGATGGGATGTCAGAGCTGAGCCTGCTTCCTGCACCAAGGCTTTGGTTGGAGGAGCATCTGTCAATAATTACGAAGCCATCAGGCTGACAGGGATCATGGTGCTGTCTGGCCAGAGCATCTCCTGCCCACCAGACACTGCATCCCCCTCAACACTGCTGCTCCTGCCCCACTCTGAGCCAAAGAAGGAGTTACAAAGAGGTGTCAAAATGGTTTTGGATCCTCTTTGGATCCTCTGGAAGAGAAAAGCCACAGGAAGAAGTTTTTCCCTGCCACTGATGAACTCTCTGCGTTAGCATGTGATACATCTGGTTTACTGACCATAAGCTTTAAGATCCCTTCCAACCCAAACCCATCTGTGATTCTATGGTGTGGGGGGCAGCTGAGGCAGCCGGTCTGGAGGAGCCTGTAACCCACACACCCCACACTGACACATGGGCAGAGGTCAATAGCACACAACGAGGCACCAGGAGGAAACACAGAGCTCTACCCAGCCACCACAACCACCACAGCCCTGCAACTGCTGCTATTTCCCATCCTGACCCTATGGAAAGCAAGCAGCAGCCAGGAACGCTGCAGGGATACGAAGCTTCCCCTCTGTCGGGCTGATTTATCAGCCTGGAGAAACAGCACTGCATGTGCTGCTGGTGAGGGCTGGGGCTGGGAGCACAGGGGGCTTCACTGCTGTTGTCTCGTGGGGACTGGAGAGCCACAAACCACTGGGTCTGTCGGGAGAGTTTTAGCAATTAACCGCGGTTCCTGCCAACAGCTCAGCAGTAGAAGTTACCATCTGCCTGTTGCTGAAGTGCCTTAAGACGCTGGTTGTGCTCGGAGGAGTCTGCAAGTCATAGAATCATAGGGCAGTTTGGGTTGGAAGGGAGCTTAAAGCTCCTCCAGTTCCAAAAAAAAATCCACTAGAGCAGGTTGCTCCAAGCCCCTGTGTCCAACCTGGCCTTGAACACTGCAGGGATGGGGCAGCCACAGCTTCTCTGGGCACCCTGTGCCAGCGCCTCAGCACCCTCACAGGGAAGAGCTTCTGCCTCAGAGCTCATCTCAATCTCCCCTCTGGCAGGTTAAAACCATTCCCCCTTGTCCTCTTCCTACATCCCTTGTCCAAAGCCCCTCTCCAGATTTCTTGTAGCCCCTTTAGGTACTGGAAGGCTGCTCCAAGGTCTCCCCAGAGCTGGTGAGGCTCTCATGGGAAGCCCAGGAGCAGGACACATTCAGCACAGAGACACGCCGTGGAAGGAGGTTAGCACAGAATGCACGCTGCCAAGTAAATAGATGCGTCTGCCTCTGATTTGCATGTTTATCTTAGAAGCAATTTGGGTTTCTCCTTGTTTACAAGAGTCGAAGTCAGCAGACTCTCAACAAGAACAACAACCGGGAGCCAACACGTGACGGTTGTCTCCTGCTCCCCCAGTGCAGCGGGGCGACCAGCGAGGCGCTCGCTTCAGCTGCACCAGGGGCTGCAGCCGTGTGGCAGATTGCTTGCAGAGAGAAGGCGAGTTAGCAGGGAGCAAGGAATGTTTCATCTCCAGGCTCTGGAAGTACTTGCCTTTCTACCATGGAGTCTCCAGCCTCTGCTCTGCACAAGCCGCTCCTCGCAGGGAACAGGGAAGGGAGGTCAATGCCACATGTGGTAGCAGAGAATTCCCGTGCATCACACCCATCTCCTGGCGGCTGGACTGGAGCAAATGGGAAATACAAGCTGGTGGTTGATGCTGATTTGCAAGAAGTAAATGGTGCAGCATCACGCAGCTAGAGGCTGCCAGAGGGACTGGTGCCAGCCCTGTCCATACAGCAGACAGCTCTATGCTTGGCAATGCAAGGGCTTTGTACACCAGGACCTCACAGGAGGCAGCATCCCCTGGAACCCCATTTGACAGGGTGGGGGATCGTTATCCCCACATGCTCTTAATTACCAGCTGCCTCCCTCCCAGCTCCTCCTCGCTGCAGGCTCTCACAGCCTTTCTCCTGACCATGCAGAATCCAGGCCCGAGCAGCCTTCAGCATCAGAAGTGGTTCCCTCTCACAGAATCTTCTTAGCTCAGGGCTTGAGGGTTCTTTTCTCCCTGCAGTGAAAACATAGAATCCCCAAGAGTGCAGCATTGCACAGGAATTTGCCACTTCCAGCACAACTTCATTTGTTAAAAATGAAGTTCTGATAAGGCAGCTGGGGGCTGCTCAGAAGATCCATTGTCAGTCCTCTTCCAGTGTTTTTCAAGTGTTTTTAGGAAGACAATCAGAAGAGATGCTTTAATCACTCCAAAACAAACGTTTGGGTTTCTTCCCTCCTGACATTCTGCTTGGCAGAATTCTCTGATGTTCCCCATCTCGCTCCATTTCGCAGGAGCTGAACCCAACTGGACATGGAAGATCTCAGCCCCACCGAGGTAACCACAGCCTTCCCAAGAGGGGAAGGTGCCAATGCCACAGCCATGGGGAGCTGGGTTTCAGGATAAGCTCCAGTGGGTGCGTGTCGGTACCGCAGCAGATACGCTGCTTGTTGGCAGCCACAAGCAAAGGGAGATGCAGGCACTGGTGCTCCCTCGGCGGTCGGTGCCCTTCGCCCTGTCTCCTTCCACTTTCTCCTGCTGATAATGTTTGCTCTGATCTGAGTATTGGCAGGAGAATTAACAAGAAGTAATGAGCTCAGTGTGCAAAGGGGGTGCCTCCCAGCACCCTGGTCCCAGCTCTGGGCAGCACCGGCAGGGACACATCAGCCATCCCCATCCTTGCTGGGACCGGCCAGGCTGGGCAGAACGAATTCAGGACCAGGGTACCCGGCCACGCTTCCCTGTGGGATCTCTGCAGCCCCACTCGAGACGCTGGCCATTGCCATCATCCAGCTGGTGGGATGCTCCTCTCGTCCTGCTCCCTGCGGGAAGCACTGGCAGCTCCTGCAGCCCAGCACGAGTGAGGCAATTAAACACCCATAGGCGGCATTGCTCCTGCTGGCTTTTCTTCCCTAAAGAGCTTCTGCCACCTCCTTTTTCCCTCTGCTGCAGGATGAAAGGCTGAATGAGCACAATAATGCTCACCAGCCCTCAAAGTTGGGGCTTACAAAGCCATGGGGAGCCGGGTTTATTATCCTCAGCTCCAGCCTGAGATGACCTTGTGCCTCTGCCAGCATTTAAACAAAATATGTTTGAAAAGGGAACAGATCCCACTGCGTTCTGTGCTCCCAGGGCTTCCCTGAGCCTGGAGCTCTCTCTGGGCCTGATGAAAGTGATAGAACATGGCCAGAGAGTGACAATGAAATATTGCCCAAGCTTATGGCTTTTTATTATTATTAAAAGAAGGTTCTTGCTTCCAGTCTGGGGGGGTGAAAAATGTGAATCCCACCCAAACCTCATCCCTGCCAGCCAGAAACACGGGTCCGTGCTCTGTGGCAAAGCTCATCCTCCGGCACACACCGCCACTGCCTGGCTGGGATGAGCAGGCGGTGCAGGCAGGGGCTGCCCGGGATGGAAAATTCCACGTTGCCACCATTGTCCAGGCTGGTGGAAGGCTCAGGGTCCCTCCCTGTGTCTGTGGAATGCTGCCCGTGGGGCTCAGCCAGGCTCTACCAGACTGTTGTTTGCACATTGTCTTTCTGCTCCGAGCTCCCGCCCTCTCCCACTGCTGCAGGGAGGGGACCAGGATGCAGGCACGGTGCAGGGATGCAGGCAGGGTACAGGGATGCAGGCAGGGTACAGGGGTGCACGCAGGGTGCAGGGAAGTCTGAGAGGGCTGGGCTTGTTCAGCCTGGAGAAGGCTCAGGGGTGACCTTATCTCTGTGTTCCAGTATTTAAAGGGTGGCTACAAAGAAGATGGAGGCTCCTTTTCGATAAGGAGTCCCCTGGAAAAGATGAGGGGTGATGGGCACAAGTCACTCCTGGGGAGATTCCCACTGAATGAGGAAGTTTTTTCCCAGTGAGATCAACCAGCCATTGGAATAATCTCGCCCGGGAAGTGGTGGATTCCCCAGCACTGGACACTGTTAAGATTCGGCTGGACAGGGGGCTGGGACATCTAGTCTAGGTCATACTTTGTCTAGAAGAGGTTGGACCAGATGATCTCGGAGTTTCCTTCCAACCTGGGATTCTGTGACCCTATGAATAGCAGTGTGATCCAGGACTGCAGCAACAGAAGGTGAAGCCTGCTCCTCCTCTCCCAGCTGAGCATCATGTGGGTGCCTGTGCCATGGACCCCACAGCGTGCCCCAGCCAGCATGCAGAGCCTGCACTGGGCTCCATCCTGCTGCGCTCAGCAGGGCCGGGCTGGGATGCAGGGGAGAGGGTGGGAGCGAGGTTTTGCACATCAGCAAGTTCCTCTGCTGCTGCCCCAGGAGCTCACAGAACCCAGGCTTGCAGGGGCACGAGCACCATGACTCGCAGCACCCAGAGCTGGCTGTCTCCGGGGGGAGATGGGCTCTGCAGGACCCCTGCTCCCTGCCACAGCCATGTACACACAGAGCAAAGCTTCACCCACCCAGGGCTGGTGCAGCTCAGGAGTATTTTGTTAAACCCAAAGACCAAAGCCGAGCGGCTGTGATGGCTCAGCAGTGCCGTGTCCCTGTATCCTGCCTGTCCGAACCACAGCGCTGGGCAGGTCTCCTTGGGCAGCCACGCAGGTACAGGGATGCAAGGCAGGGTGCAGGCAGGGCTCTGTGTTGCATCTTGCCCACACCAAGGGGATGCTGTAAGGAGGAATGCCCTCAGCAGAGCCCAGAGCAGCTGTGACACAGCTAGGAAGAGGGAAAGGTGGGCTTTGATATCAACCCCTCCACAGCAGGGAGAAGACCCAGGGAGGCAGAGCCCTGCAGCTTCCCCCTGTTTGTGGTAACATGGCTCTGTTCTCTCCCGCAGGTACATCGGGGCACTGGGTGCGAGGGTGATCTGCGATAACATCCCGGGGCTGGTGAACAAGCAGAGGCAGCTGTGCCAGAGGTATCCTGACATCATGCAGTCGGTTGGGGAGGGAGCCAAGGAATGGATCCGGGAATGCCAGCACCAGTTCCGGCACCACCGCTGGAACTGCAGCACCCTGGACCGGGACCACACTGTCTTCGGACGGGTCATGCTGCGAAGTAGGTGCTGCCCCATCCCCTCCCCTCTGCCTTGTCTCCCTGGGAGAGTCTCTCCTCTCGCTGGGGCTGCCGTGCCCAGTGGCTTGGATTACTCCCTTAGGAGAGCTTTGCCTTTCCCTGTAAATTAATCAAGCCATAATGGGAGCAGAGCACTGCGTTTGGAATAGCTGCACCAGATGAGATGGAGCAGGGGGAGCACTGGGAGAGAAGGGGGAAGGAGGAGACACCTCCGGAGAACAGGCTCGTATGTAAACAGTAATGGGATATATAAATATTTGGAGAGTAGGGTTGGCCAGGACTCAGCAGTTCACGTGGGAACTGGCTGTTCCCTTGCATGGCAGAGCCACGGCTCCAGTCCTCGCTTCGGGCTCCGAGGTGGAGGTCCACGGCCACGGGGCACGAGCTGCTGTGCACAGACCCTGCTGGGAGGGACCTTCTGCTCCAGGTGAGGGTTGGGTACAGCACAGGCAGGGATGTACCCAAGGAGCAAAGAGAAGAGGTGTGAAGGGGACAGGGACAGGGGTGGTTCCGGAGCAGGAACAGCATCGTAGGCTCTGGCACAGTCGTGCCCCGGGATCCAGGGAGAACCCAGCACTGTGGGACAGATGCTGCTGCACCCCGTGACGTGCCGGGGCACATCCAGCCATGCAGCCTCTGAATCAAAGCAATTGGGAAGAGCCTTTCCTCTCACCAGGAGGGGCTCATATGGAGGACATGTGAGCCCCACAGAGGGAGTGGGAGCGGGGGGCTGCTCCCAGCTGCAGGGGGATGGGGCAGATCCCTCTGGGGTGAACAAGCAGCAGAGCTTGCAAGGGAGACCCCCAGAGAGGAGCTGGTGGGAGCGAAGGGGCTGTAAGCGCTGGGATGCAGCATTCATCCAGCCATGCTGCAGCCTGCCGTGTCTCAGCCTCCCCAACCCTGGGACTGCACCTTTACCCTTTACTCCTGCTCATGTCCTCTCCTGGCAAAGGATAGGGAATGATGAAAGCTCCTTGCCACAGCCCCATCCTGCGAGGCCCAAAGAGAGCTCTGCTGCCTTTGAAGTTGCTTTCAAAGGCTCTCAGAATGAAGATGAACATGGTTTTGATTTGCAGCTTCTTTTACAGCATTATAAAACCAGCTGCGAACTCAAACCAGAGCCATACAATAGCAGGCAGCAAGCTGTGCCACGCAGGACAAGCCAAGCCCAGCCAGAGCCGGCACTAGCTCCCATGCTCCATCACCCTGAGAGGGAGGTGGCCTTGGCTGAAGGGTCCTGGCTGGTCACAGCACCAACAGGCACCCACACTGCCCCTGAGATTCAGGTCAGATGGGGACAAGTCAGGCAGCCCTGAGAGCAACCCAGCATCCCAAGCTGCAGAGCCCTGAGGCTCTACATGAAGTTCCCCTTAGAACCACAGAATCAACCAGGTTGGAAAAGACCTTTAAGCTCATCCAGTCCAACTGTTCCCCAGCACTGCCAAGGCCACCACCAACCCCTGGCACTGAGGCCTCGTCTACCCGGGCTGTGAACACTTGCAGGGACGGTGCCTCCAGCCCTGCCCTGGGCAGCCTGTTCCAATGCCTGAGCACCCTCTGGGCAAGGAATTGTTCCTCAGCTCCAGCTAAACCTGCCCTGGGGCAGCCTTCCCTTAGTCTGAAAGGTGCCAGGGAAGCTGAGGCTGGACTTGGTGGCCAGCAGAGATCCCTGGACGTGTCTTACCTGTGTGCGGGATGCTCTCACCCAGCCGCAGCGGTGCCACCGCGGTGCCGCGCTCCTCATCCCTGTTCCTCTCCCCATGGCAGGCAGCAGGGAGGCAGCCTTCGTCTACGCCATCTCCTCGGCCGGGGTGGTCTATGCCATCACGCGGGCGTGCAGCCAGGGAGACCTGAAGGCCTGCAGCTGCGACCCGCTCAAGAGGGGCCGCTCCAAGGATGAGCGCGGGGAGTTCGACTGGGGCGGCTGCAGCGACAACATCAACTACGGCATCCGGTTCGCCAAAGCCTTCGTGGACGCCAAGGAGAAGAAAGTGAAGGATGCCCGGGCACTGATGAACCTGCACAACAACCGCTGTGGGAGGATGGTGAGTGCAGCCCCTGAGGCTGAGTTGGGAGCATCCTACTGGGATCTCCTGCTGGGGGATGGGCAATGGGAGCAGCCTGGGCATGGGAGTGGGGCCCGGGGTGTGCGGTACCACTGCAGGCAGAGGCAGGATGCTGCCCCTGCATGGTCTGTGCAGGGAACAGCCCCATGAGGATGGCAGGACCCTGCTTAGCTGTGCCCCCAGCACATGTCCTTGCTGATGCTGGCACAGTGACTGCGGGAATCCTAGACTGGTTTGTGTTGGAAGGGACCTCAAAGCTCCTCCAGTTCCAACCCCTGCCCTGGGCAGGGACACCTTCCACTAGAGCAGGTTGCTCCAAGCCCCTGTGTCCAACCTGGCCTTGAACACTGCCAGGGATGGGGCAGCCACAGCTTCTCTGGGCACCCTGTGCCAGCGCCTCAGCACCCTCCCAGGGAAGAGCTTCTGCCTCAGAGCTCATCTCAGCCTCCCCTCTGGCAGGTTAAAGCCATTCTCCTTGTCCTGTCCCTCCATCCCTTGTCCAAAGCCCCTCTCCAGGTTTCCTGGAGCCCCTTTAGGCACTGGAGCTGCTCTGAGGTGTCCCCTTCAGGAGCCTTGTCTTCTTCAGGCTGACCCAACCCAGCTTTCTCAGCCTGGCTCCAGAGCAGAGCTGCTCCAGCCTCCTTATGCAGCACCCCTGCATAAGGATGTGTGACACCCAGGGTGACCACCGCTCCTCACAGCATCCCTCTTCCCACAGGCTGTGAAGCGCTTCCTGAAGCTGGAGTGCAAATGCCACGGGGTGAGTGGCTCCTGCACACTAAGGACTTGTTGGCTGGCAATGTCAGATTTTCGGAAGACAGGGGATTACCTAAGGAAGAAATACAACGGGGCCATCCAGGTGACCATGAACCAGGACGGCACCGGCTTCACCGTGGCCAACAAGAACTTCAGGAAGCCCACAAAAACAGATCTGGTGTACTTTGAGAACTCACCTGATTACTGCGTGATGGACAAGTCAGCAGGTAAAAGCCAAAGCTCCAGTTGTGGCCCAAAAGCTGCTCTTCCTCCCCTCCTGCCCAGCCTGGCAGGGCTGCTTTGGGATGTCAGCTTCCCCACCAAGCCCCGGTGGTCCCCAGTGGGGTTTGTGCTGTGGAGGGTCACCCAGGCCCTCGGTGCTGTCAGTACTCACTGGAGCACTGGGTCCCTGCACAGACAGGACTGGATTTGTCCAGAATTCCCAAGTTTTCCACTAAAGATCCAAACTGATGAGGCTTCTTGTAATGAACATAGCACAGCAATTGCTCACAGCCTTCCTCCTGCAGAGGAAAGCTCTTTTAAAGGGGCAATAAAGAGCCTGTTTCACAGAGCCAGCTGCCAGCTCTTCCTCTGAACACAGCCTGAGGGATGAGCAGGGATGCTCTGCTCCTGCAGGGAAGATCAGTGGCTTCCCAGCCTGGAGCACCCCCAGCTCAGGGGTTCACAGTAGCTGTGGGGGCTCGGTGGGGAAGGCAGCACATGCTCCCCATGAGCCCTTAGCCCAGGCTGAGGAGCGTCTCTGGCTTTGCCTGCTGCAGCGCCTGGCTCAGGGGGCACACGGAGTACAGAGAGGCTGCACAGAGCCCATGCCCTCAGCTCTCACTCTGGGCAGCAGCAGCGCAGGCTCCAGCAGCAGCCGTGGGGAAGGGGCCATGCAGAGACTCACCAAAGCTTCATCCTGGCTGGGCTCGCTCCCCGTGCTGCAGCCCTCAAAGCAAAGCAAGCACAGAGTCAACAACCTCTTCCCTGCAGCCTGTGCCCAGCCTTTGGGGGTCATACTGTGGGACCGTGCTTCAGCACGTGCTGC